TATATATATATACACCCCCAATTACCTTTTATAGTTGGAAGACAGACCATTTTTTAAACGTTCCTCTAGGCCCTCTCTATAGTAGTTTTATATACATTTCCTAATGTTGAACTTCTCCCAAAACACCCTTACTTGTGGCTTACCACATTGTTTCCATCAATGATTCCCAGAATTGAACTAAATGAATCTGAGTACATCTGCAGAATTCTGTTTCTGTTCCCTTTGTTCTACAAATACACCTTTCAGCCTTTAGGCATGCTGAAATTTGCCCTTCATTGCGTGTTACGCACCCATTGTGAGACAGCACTGCTTAACTTCATGTACAAATTATTTTCTAGCCCGGCCGGGTGTGGCTCAGCAGTTGAGTGTAGACCTAGGATCCAGGTGATCAGGGTTCGATTCCCGGTCAGGGCACATGCCCGGGTTGCGGGCTCCATCCCCAGTCGGGGGTGTGCAGGAGGCAGCGGATCAATGATTCTCTCATCATTGATGTTTCTATCTCTCTCTCCCTCTCTTTTCCTCTCTCTGAAATCAATAAATATATATTTTTTAAGAAACAAAAAAAACCCCCAACAAATTATTTTCTAGAGGTTACTGTGAGACTAGATTACTTTATGACCTCAGAGAAGACTTAAACCAGATAACTTATAGCCACTTTGTCCAGAGGGGCAAAACATGGCCCCGCTTACTTGGAAGAAGGTCTAAATTAGTTTTGCATTCCTTTTATTTTAAGCACCACACCTACCATCCTATCTTGCACTGGGCCCAGCCTTATTCCTAAAATAAAGGAAGTTGTTTGCATAGTTTTCACACATACTGTATTGTCTGTATCACTTAGAATTCCTGGTGGGGGATTGAGACACAGTATTTTAAAATGATGTATTGAAAGCATTTCTTGTCATGTTTTTGGAAAATTTAATTTTACTGTTTATCATGTATCAGTTGGCCTTAAGACCTTAAACTAACCTATATTGTGACAATGTGATTTTTGTTTGGACTGGATATCACTTTCCCTGTTATTTCTGTTAACCCTCAGCCATCTCTGATGCTTCCTCTTTCATTCTGAGTATTCATTCCGTTGCAGACCATTATTCTTCATAGTCTTTCTTATATTCTACCCTTTTACTGTCTCCTGACTAGATTCTTTAATTCTAATCTGTCTTCTTTCCCCTCCATTCATTCTGCACGCCACCATCAGATGAGTCTTCCTAAACTAGAACTTTTACAGTATTCTTCTCTGAGAAACCTTGATTGAATTCCTGTTGTTTAAGTTCATACTCCCCTGCCTACTATCCAGGGCTCTTCACATGTTGACTCAACACACTTCCCCTAAATTATCTCACGTTAATCCTCTGCATGAGCATCCTACTCCAGCCAGGTCAGTCTGTTATCCGGAAATGGAAATGCCTTGGGCCTTCTCTCGTGATTTCTTTCCTGCTCTTCCCCTCCTGGAATGCCTGTTTGAATTCTTTCCATTCTTCAAGCTCCAATAACTTTCCTTGGGTAGTTAAGTCCATACTGATCTCTCTGTATTCAGAATTCTGTAGTACACAACAATTTATAGTTAATACTGTAATAGTTACATTAAATACTAAATAGTCTAAGTGTTAACAGTTGTGTAAAATTTAAAGTGCCCAGAATGTATGAAATTCCCATGTTCTGCATCCCTGACAGGTAGTTGCTATCTGACCTCTTCTCAACAGTCACCATGCAGCACAGTAATTCCCAGAACAACACGTTCATTCATTTAGTAAATAAATGTTTGGAAGATTCTTTCATAAATTTACCTAAAGTTGCCTTTTTAAAAACCTTGATCTTATTTGTCCTAGTTTGATTTCTAGAGTACTATAGAACAGGATTTTGTTGTTTTGTAAGAACCCTAAAAATGTGCCCTGACGGGGTGGCTCGGTTGGAGAGTTGCCCTGATGCCCGGTCAGGGCACATGCAGGAGTCAACAGGTGAATGCATAGATGAGTGGGATAATGGACTGATGTTTCTCTCTCTCTCTCTCTTTCACTCTCTCCCCCTCCCTCTCCTCTCCCTCCCCTCCCTCCTCTCTCAAATCAATAAATATTTTTAAAAAATAATCCTAAAAATGTTTAATGATAGCATTCATAACTCTCCTGAGTCATTTCTTCTCCAGGCAAAACCTGTTCTTGTAACGTTTCTTTTATGCTATGCTTTCCAGTTCCTCTTGCCACGTGTTAACAGTTCTGTTTTACCAACGTCTCCCTTAAAATGTGATCCCAAAAATGAACCATAGGCCAATGCAAGTTTCAGAGAGGCTATTATTTCTATTTACTGGAGAATATGAAAATGATGTAGCCTAAAATATTTTTACATAGTCTTTGTAAACATCATCTAAGTGGCTACATAATATTTCACAAATTGCTGGTCCATGGTTTACTTGTTAAGCATCCCTCCATTGCTGGACGTTTATATTGCTTTTCTTATTTGTGGTCATAGATAATGCTGTAGTAAACATCTTTTTGTGTAAAACTTCCTCCATTTTTAGATTGTCCTTAGAATGGGTTGTTAGAAGTGTATAGTTTAAATTAAAAGTATAATAACTACCTATATGTCTGAGGTTATTTATATTAATTTTACTCAATTTTCCCCCAGAATATTAAGAGGGTTTTTGTTGAAGTGATGAATTGATAGTTATGAAAAAGTAGATCCTATAGTATGAAGACTTCTGGTGAAAGAGGTTTTAGATAAGATTGTATTTATAAGTAAACACAGTGAAACTTAACTCTTCCTTTTGTCTTTTAAATAGCTGGATAGAACTTACACTGGCTTGCAGACTCTTGGAGCAGAGACGGTAGGTTTTTCCCCCTATAGCATTATTTGGGAACAAATATATACTGAAAATTGATCTTCATTTTTAGTTAGGAAAAAAATGAGTGCTAAATTTTAAAAAACATTTAAATCCCCTTATTTGTTTATTTTTTAATTGTGATAAAATTTACTATTTTTAAGTGTACGGCTAAGTGTTATTAAATATATTCACATTTTTGTGCAGTCATTGCTGTCATCCTCATGGAAAACTGAAACTGAAATCATTTACAATAATTCTCCATTCTTCGCTTCCCCCAGCCCCTGGCACCACCCTTCTACTTTCTGTCTCTATGAATTTGACTACTCTAGATACTGTATAAGTGGAATCATACAGTGTTTGTTTTTTTGTAACTGGTACATTTTACTTAGCATGTTTTCAAGGTTCATCCATGTTATAGATGTGTCAGAATTTCCTTCCAAAAAAGGCTGAATAGTGTTCCATTGTGTGTATAGACTACATTTTGTTTATCCATTTATCTGTCAGTGAGCAGTTGAGTTGTTTACTTCTTCTGGCTATTGTGAATATTAAGAATGTGGATCTGTTTGTTTGAGTCCTTGCTTTTAATTCTTTTGGATAGATACCCAGAAGTGAGATTGCTGGATGATACCGTAATTCTGTTTTTAATTTTTTGAGCAACTGCCACACTGTTTTCCATGGCAGCAGCACTTTTATATTACCACCAACAGTACATAAGGGTTCCAATTCTCCAGCACTTGTCGTTTTACATCTTTTTTATAGTAACCATCATAATGGGTGTGTATGGTGGTATTTCATTGTGGGTTTGGTTTGTATTTCCCTAATGGTAATTGATGTGGAGCACCTTTTCATACATTTATTGGCCATTTGTGTATCTTCTTTGGAGAAATGTCTTCAAATCCTTTACCCATTTTTGAATCGAGTTGTTTGCTTTTTCGTTACTGAGTTTTAGGTGTTCCCTCACTATTCTTGATATTAGTCTCTTATCAGATATATGGCTTACGAATATTTTCTCCCATTATATGGGTTATCTTTTCACTCTGTTGACAGTGTTCTTTGATGCACAAAAGTTTTTAGTTTTGACATAATTCAGTGTATCTGTTTTTTCTTTTGTTGCATGTTTTCTGTGTCATATTCAATAAATAATTCCGAAGCCAATGTCATAAAGCTTTGCCCCTGTATTTTCTTCTAAGAATTTTGTTGTTTTAGGTTTTTGATCCACTTTGAATTAATTTTTGTATGTGGTGTAAGGTAAAGATCCACCTTCATTCTTTTTGTTGTTGTTGTTCAAAATATTACAGATGTCCCTTTTTCTCCCCAGTGACCCATCCCACCCCATCCCACCCCTCTCCACCTTCATTCTTAATGCATGTGGATATCTAGTTTTCTCAGTTCCATTTTGTTAAAGATTGTCCTTTTCACATTGAATGGTCTTGGCATCCTGTCAAAAATAATTGACAGTATATGTGAAGGTGCATTCAATTTTAATGGTCTATATGTCTTTCTTTATGCCAGTACCACACTATTTTTATAGCTTTGTAAGTTTTAAAACCTGGAGGTGGTATGAGACCTCCAACTTCCTTTTTTCTCTTCTTTCCACCCCCCTTTTTGGAATTCATTATATATCAGCAGTAGCCGCTATAATTAGCTAGTTATACTTTGTGTTACATCAGTAGATATTTATTGAGCACATAGTCTATGCTAGGCACTGGTCCAGGTAATGGGGATACAGATTTCTGCACAAGATAGCTACTACTCTAAAACATTCTTAGTTCTGTTAAGAATGGGCAGAAGGTATACAGTAAGCATAAAAGCAAATAAGGTTTCATTTACAAATAAGTGCTATAAAGAGGAGAGAGTAGCTGGGGGACAAGAGAGTTGCTTTAGCTGGGCTGGGTAGGGAAGGCCTGAGAAGATGACATTTTATTGAGAACTAATGGTGAGAAAGGCAGACATTGCAAAGATTTTGGGGAAGTGTGTCCTAAGACATTGAAACAACAAGTGGAAAGACCGTAGTTTTTATGATTGGTTTTACTAATTATCTATTAAGCCAGAATAGATTATATTCTGGGATAATCCTTAGTTGTTGAGATTGAAATTGCCTTTGAAATATGCTTAGAAATCATTTGTCACATCTCTTAGAGTACCATGTTCTTAGAAGGTTTGGGACTTTCTGGCACACTTGTGATGAATTCATGAGCCCAGTTATTGTCCAATTTTGTAGGTAGTGGATGTTGAGCTCCACCGGCATTCACTTGGAGAAGACCCTATTTACCCTCAGTCCTCCGAGTCAGACATCTCTGATGCCCCACCATCTTTGCCTTTGACCATTCCAGCCCCAGTGAAAGCTTCCTCACCAGTAAAGCAGTCACATGAGCCGGTACCTGATTCTTCTGTGGAAAAGGGTAATATATTTTTCCTTGTATGGGGGAGTCATTCTGGGGCATTCCTTTCTCTCATTTGCTTAACATGATTTTGAACTGCTGCCTTCGAGAGTGTATGGAAAATTTCCATAAGTAGGCATGTTGCCTCTACTATATTGTCCTGTTACAAAAATGCCCAAATGCTTTCTCTTCTCAGAAAATATCTTTCATTAAGTTCTACTAACATTTTGTAGGAATACAAAACTCACTAAAAAGCATTCAATTTTTTAAATAGAAATTACCCTTATTTTTTATGGCTGTATTGCTATTTTTGTAGATTCAACAAAAAGCTATATTCCTTCTCTTCAGGACATACTTGAATAAATCAGTGTTGCAAACTAGACCATGCCACAAGTCTTAATTAAGTGTGACAGATTGTTTATTAAGGAATAGATACTATTCTTCGCACATGATAAAATAGAACAGAACATCAAATTAATAATAGTGAATTGGAAAAATCAGTTAACAAACCTGTATATGCATTAGGGGAGGAGACTTGAACACAAGTCTTAGTTATAGCTAAGCAGGGAGAAACAAAATCTCTTCCACTGTGAGATACACTAATGATAAATAAGGTCACCCTGCCTCCTCATGGAGGTAAATGAACTCATTAACATTTCCTGTAACGGGATGATTCCCTAACAAAACATTAGTTCTAATTATGCGGTATTAATGTTGGATTTTACAGCACAAACTTTGTAAAACCATTTTCTCTGTTAAATGCTTTTGTCTCTTGAGACTTCAAAGAAAAGTAAAGCTTATCAAAGTCCATGAGGTTGGGGCATATCAAAACTGAATTTCTGCTCTAGTTTGGGTTTTTAGATTTGTCTTACTGGAGGAGAATGTGGATATTTTAACAGCTATATTAGAGAGAAGATAGGCATTAAAAGTATGACAAAGATAAGAGAAAGGACCTGTTTCTACCTTAATAAAAGGCTTTTCAGTACATCTTAGGGAACTCTTATAATTAAAGGTAAGCAGATAAATACAGCCAAATTTTTTTTTAATTTTTTTTTTTTAAATATATCTTTATTGATTTCAGAGAGAGGAAGGGAGATCGGGAGAGAGGGAGGGAAATAGACACATCAATGATGAGAAAGTCACTGATCGATCGGCTGTCTCCTGCATGTCCCCCACTGGGGATCGAGCCCTCAACCCAGGCATGTGCCCTGATCGGGAATCGAACCATTATCGCCTGAATCCTAGGTCAGTGCTCAACCTCTGAGCCACACCTGGCCGGGCTACAGCCGCATTCTTAAATTGTATGAACCTTTTTCACTAATGGAAAAACTACTACTTATTGGTCTCAACATGGAGAAACTATAAATAACTATCCAAGAACAACCCTGTGATGTGATTGTGTTCGGCATCATCACTGTCATGGAACATAGATCTTGTTTTCTTTTTTTTTAAATTAAATTAAAAATTTTCCATCACCATTTATCCCCTCTATGCCCTCTTCCACCACCCCCATCTCACCCCCAGCAACCACCACGCTTGTTCATGTCCATGAGGTCTCATGGAGCATAGATTTTAAATATATATATATGTATGTTTTTATTGATTTTAGAGAGAGAGAAAGGGAGAGGGAGAGGGAGAAGCATTGATGAGAGAGAAACATCAATTGGCTGTCTCCTGCACGCCCCCTACTGGGGACTGAGTCCACAATCTAGGCATGTGCCCTGGCTGGGAATCCAACCAGTGACCTCCTGGTGCATGGGTCGATGCCCAACCACTGTGCTGCACTGGCCGGCCTGGAGCATAGATCTTAATGTCTCTTTCCAACCTATCATTGCACTCAGTCCCTTTTATTAAATATAGTGAATTGCAACTAATTTAATGAGTTATAATTCTTTCATGTACTAGATCTTAATTAAAGATACCATGTATTTTAAACCATTTTATGATTATATATAGTAAATACAGAAATACATTGAATTTTGTCAGGTCTTTAGGTAGAAGAAAATTAAATTTTTTTTCAGGAGTTAAAAAGCATTAAATTTTTATTCCCTGATGATATTATAGTAGTTTCTTCTAATTCTGGTCTGGTTCCTGATTGTGTGAACAAGAAACTTAAATATTAAATATCTAATCTTATTTAAAATGTAAGATTCATTATCAATAAATATTTAAGTATTTAAGTGTTCACTTATATGACTTCAAGAAATAAAATTGACTCTAAATGGTATTAGTTTAATCTCTTAGACTACATTTTAATGTGATGTTAATATTTTAGTTCTTTTATAAAATCACAACTTCATTCCTCTTTAAATTTCGGTTATATCTTGTTTATGGGCATTTGATAAGACAGGACATCATTAGGTTAAGTGAATGCTTTTAAAAAAAACGTTTTTATTAATTTTAGAGAGGAAGAGAGAGAAAAACATTGATCAGTTGCCTTCTGTACACACCCTAACTGGGGACTGACCCTGCAACCCGGGCATCAAATCTGTGACCTTTTGGTGCAGGGAACCAGCCTAGCTACACTGGCCAGGGCGTGAATGCATCTTTTGAGTTTTCCTCTTCTCTAATTTAAACAGTTTTCAATTTGTATATAAAAAATAGGAGAACATAATGAACTTGTATACTGTTTATAGTTAATAGGTTTTCTAATTTTTTTAAAGAAACACTTTAACAAAATATGATTTGAGGCATATTTACATTTGTTGAAAAACAATACAACAGGTCCCAAATGGGGTCACTTATGCCAAGCTTCATGTCACCAAACTGAAACTTACTTATAGTTTCAGCCTCTCCCAGAAATGGAATCTTAAACCAGTCAATCAGGAATCCCCTGATCAGCACTAGATAGGTAATCTGCCTGATAGACCCCTGCCGTCCCGCCCGAAGAAAGGTTATTTTAAGGCAGCCAGTCTGCTTTTCGCTCATATAACTTCCTTGTTCCTGTTCTTTTCTGCCTCTAAAAGTCCTTCATTTTATACAGCTCCTGGGAGTTCCTTTCTGACTGCTAGATTGGATGCTGCTTGATTCATGAATAAATAAAATCTGTAAAATTTACTCAGTTGAAATTTGTTTTTTAACACGCCACCGAAAAATGTATAAAGGGATAATAAATACTGTGGATTGTATTTATTTTACTAGTAAATGTCTTAAGTGGTTGTTGGAATGAAAAGGGATTTTTATTGTTTCATTCTTTTCCCACAGTGGTAAGATTTTATTATTTCAAAGGGATTAATGACTTATCAATTTGCCTGTGTCATTTCAAGCAGGATTCCCAGCCAATACTGAAACTGAGAGACACACTACATTTTATTCTTTGCCATCTGCATTGGAACGGACACCCACCAAAATGACAACAGCCCAGAAAGTTATGTTTTGTTCTCATGGCAATTCAGCTTTTCAGCCAATAGCATCAAGCTGCAAGATCGTACCACAGAATCAGGTTCCTAATCCTGAGTCACCTGGGAAGTCCTTCCAGCCTATCACGATGAGCTGCAAGATTGTTTCAGGTATACAGATGATGTGTGTAAAGTTGATGTGCGTAAAAATTTTTGGAATGACAAACCAAAATACTGTGGCTTTTATAAAAAAAATTTTTTGTAGTTCTTCTAAGCAGGGTTTTTGTGTATTTAACAAGTGAGCTAATCACTTTTGATTAGCAAAGCAAAGTTGTTATGAAGCAAAAACAAAAGTCATCTATATGGAAACAGGTTTTTTTGTTGTGTTTTTCTTTTTGGTTAATTCTCACGCAAGGATATTTTTTCCATTGATTCTAAAGTGGGAAGGGGGGAGGGGGGGAGAGAGAAACATCAGTGTGAGAGAGCCACATCAATTGGTTGCCTCCCACACATGCCCCGACTAGGGGAACCTGCACCCAGGTATGTGCCCTTGACTGGGAAATCGAACCTGTAGCCGCTAGGAGCACAGGCCAACACTCTAACCACTGGGCAATGCCGGCTAGGGCTGCATGGAAACAGTTTTTGAATGAGGCAGTTCAAAAAGGTAAATTTTTATCTCCTAGAATCAGCACAGGTAAAATGTTTGCTAGGATTATGGTTGAATTTAAAGTAGGAATTATGTTTTGGGATTATATATGGAAACCGGAGCAACTAGTAATAGAAAAAATGTACAGGCCTTTGGAGTTGAAATATCTTTTATACTCTAACCACATGAGAAAAAGTATTCATTTCTACTATTCTCAGTAAAGTTGAATTGTCCATTGCCTCACGACAATTTCACATTTATGTGAGGTAAACTATTAGTAGGAATACACTTTATGGTTTTGGTCGTACCACCTCAGAAAAGACAAACAGAGTCAATAGAAATATTTAGGCACTGTGAGGCTTCTATAAGTACTTAAATGAAGGGGGGGAAAGGGAGTCTTTGGTGTTAAAAATAGAAAACTAAGCAGAAATATGATCCAAGTGTTTGACATTGAAGAGAAGTAAAGAATGTATAATTTTACCCACCTGTTAGAAGCACTTGGAAACTTGCTGCTTCAGAGGTAGAAGAGGCTGAGTGTATAAATTGGTTTGAAGTTTAGAGAGATTCATGGATGTCAAATTTAATCAATAGAAAACAATAGAGGATGTTTAATGGTACATTGGTAACCTTGAGCATATTCTGTGGGAACATGAATTTCTGGATTGTGACTGTGACAGTATTGACAGAGACTTTTGTTTCGGGTGGGTGAATTTCATATTTTTCTATTGGAAATTAATTGCAAATCAAGACTCCAGATTCCTAAGTCCAACTGTAAACTTACTAATTTCCTCCCTAATTTTCGAATCATACCAACCTGCCTAAATTGTTAAGAGATTTATAATCTAGGGATTCAGTAGTTTCACACTGTTATGTAAATAACTGCTTTTTAATCTTTAATGTTCCTACAGGGGAACTTGTTAAAATATAGATTTATATTCGGTAGGTTTGGGGTAGGACGGCAGGATCCGTTTCTAACAAGCTCCCTGATGATGAGGACGCTCATGCTGCTGGTCCAGGATAAGGCTGTAGTCAGCGAAGCACACTAGTCCCTGGCCTCAGCTACACTGTTGCTGCTGCTGCTGCTCAGTACCTGAAACATACAGTCTCATTCTCTTTTCCCAATTTGGCACCTTTGTCCTGGCAGCCCTGCCCTTCTTTCATTATCTCCCAGCATCTTCTTAGATAGGTTGGATATATCTATTTTGTTTAGTTTATTTGTTTCTCTTTTTAATTAATAAAGGTTCCCCCATATCAACGCCAAGTCCATCACCATTGCCTCGAACCCCAACTTCCACTCCAGTCCATGTGAAGCAAGGCACTGCCAGCTCTGTTATTAGTAACCCTTATGTTATCATGGACAAGCCAGGGCAGGTTATTGGAGCCACCACTCCCACTACAGGTGTGTGTTTGATCAATATTTATACGATCCAAAGATTTGATCTTTTCTAAAGATGAAATCCTAGCATGACTTAGTAGCCATATAATGAGAGAATGAACTCTCTATCCATAAATAAGAGGAGGGGATATATGAGAGTAACACCAGTGCTATTTCTCTGAGGGAAGATGTACTGTTTGTAAAAGTTAATATTTTTAGGAATTTACTTAAGTTTTATTTCTAGTTTCTGAAGATTAAAAATGAGTCATAATTAATTTTCCAAAAGAAAAAAAAGAGAGAGAGAGAGTTGATTTTATTTCATTTGAAAGACATTCTTTTTGGGCCTGCAAGCAATGTGGTTATTAACTTTTCCAAATTAAGCTTTAGTACCAGAATAACTTTGTGAGCCATATATATATCACCCCAGTCAAATAAAAAAGTCATCTTTACTTTCCTATGAATAAGATAAATTTTGTGTGTGGAGAGAAAAGTGTACCCTACCATTATAAAAAGAAAACGCTAATAGGAAGAATTCAGAGGCTTTGGATTTTCCATGTTTGTCATAATCTCATGTAACTGCAGACTGCTTTTCAGGTGTGGTTTGTTTTTTTTTTAAGTACTTTCACTGGCGTTATTTATTCCCTTCAATTAAACTATTTAAACACATGTTCATAAGTGTGAACTTTCCTGTAGTTTTCACTTCTAATTAAGAGAAATAATAAAAAGAGAAATGAAATAAGAGAGATGACTATAAGGTAATGAAACTTTTTTTTCCAAATACTTGATTTTAACACATGCAGATGTGCGTTGGGCTGTTCCAAGTAGGTTTTTGGGGAAAAGTTGATTCCTTTAACAGTGATTGTAATTATGGAACTCCTTTAAAAGCTACTTTCAGAAATTACCTAAGGGCCTTTTGAATATACTTTGGGATGCCAAATAAGGTATGCTTTGAGGATATTTAGTTTTAGCAACCAGCCAAACATCTTTGCAGACCAAGTTTGGTACATGGACAGGAGATCAAATACCGTTTTTGGTCTTGACTTATTATTTTTTTTAAAAATATATCTTTATTGATTTCAGAGAGAGGAAGGGAAAGGGAGAGAGAGATAGAAACATCAATGATGGGAGAATCATCGACAGCTTGCCTCCTGCAGGCCCCCAACTGGGGATGGAGCCCACAAACCCAGGCATGTGCCCTGACCGGGAATTGAACTGGGATATCCTGGATCCTGGGTCGATGCTCAGCCACTGAGCCATGCCCAGCTGGGCAAGGTCTTGACTTATTTTTGAATGTAGACAATGTGACTTATTTTTATCAGACCCTAAAGGCAGTTGTACAGATGGAGTATAAAATGTTTGATGTTGGCAGTATTTTCAAATAGGTATAACCTTGTAGTGAAACTACTTTGAAGGGACCAGCATTCACTTGAATGTATACATTTTGGCACCTTGTTAAATAACCAATTCTATTATGTTACAGCATCTTTTTATATAAGTAGCAGAGTATATATATGTCTATTTACTTTATTTATTCCACACATCCTTACTAGGTTCTTGTCCCTTTTCAGGTTAGTGAAGTGGTAAACTTTGTAGGACAAGTCCTTAAGTGTTTCTTCTGTAACAATTTCAGGATTCTAAGTTTTCAACCCTAAAAATGAAAAATAAATAGTGGGGAAAGGGAGGGTGGTGGAAAATGCTTTAAAATTCCATTTTGCAAATTTTCTTTTGTTTATACTTTATTTTTACATCTGCCTTGCTTACAGGAAGTCCTACAAACAAGCTCTCCACTGCATCTCAGGCCTCCCAAGGAACAGGTTCCCCTATTCCTAAAATTCATGGAAGTAGTTTTGTAACATCTACTGTCAAGGTAACACTCTATTGCATTATTGCACTTTGCCAGTTTTAAAGACAGTATGTTTGAATTCAACAGTAAGTTGATATTGCAAACTTCATAAAGTACAACCTTCAGGCTAATAAGTATCTTGATGATCATCTTATTCCAGACTTCTATACCTTCCCTTGATCTTTTCCTAGTGTAGAAAATGTTTCTCAACACTTCTGTCAATTGGTTATCCAGTGTCTATTTGAAAACTTACTATGATGAGACGACCTCTTTTTTGGGTGAGGGGGACAGCTTTGTTATAAATTTTTCCTTATGAAAATATTCATTTGACAATACATTCCTTTTTTCCTATATTTGCACCAATAAAGAGTAAATATATTTCCTTATTTCCTTTTCCACATGTCATTTGGTTACTTGAAAATAATTCCTTTTGTCTGGCCGGTGTGGCTCAGCGGTTGAGCATCAACCTGTGATCTAGGAGATCATGGTTTGATTCCTGGTTAGGGCACATGCCTGGGTTGCTGGCTTGATCTCCAGTAGGGGGTGTGCAGGAGGCAGCCAATCAATGACTCTCTCATCATTGATGTTCCAGCTCTCTTTCTCCCTCTCCCATCCTCTCTCTGAAATCAATAAAGACATATTTTAAAAGAAAGAAAATAATTCCTCTTTTCCACAATTTTTATCTAAAAATTTTCAGGTAGTAAGCCCTTTGAGATTTGGAATTCCCAGTATCCTCTGACTTGTTCAGCTCAAGGTGCTAGCTGTCTGCTCACTGTTTAACAAAGGCAGTTCCTGCTGTTTAGTTAGTTATTCAACTTATTTATCATTGTCATGGTTGCCCTTCAGGCTAGAGCTTTTGAGGTTTAAACTCCTGTGTGAGAATTCCCAAGAATTCTGAGATCATCCCTTACATGACTAGTGCTAGCATAACGAAGTGTTTCTTATTTTTAGGCATTTAATGGTGATGATACGAAATAGTTTCCTGGTCTAAGGCAAGGTTTTCTCTAAATTCAGTGTAATCTGTGAGCACTGTATTACACAAATGCCTGAATTGTAATAATTCCCTTCAAAGTCTTAATTCTTTGCCAGTCTTTTTCTAAATACTTGTTGATGATCTTTTCATTACACGGGCAATTTTCTTAACTTTGTTTCTTGCCCCTAACATTTTTTTATGACAACTTGCCTCCAAGATTTGCATTTTGTATTTGAGAATTGGAGACAAATGATAGTATTTTGAATGTTGACTTTTGCTGTCTTTGCGTTTGCTATTTGTTCAAGTTCTTTTTATTGTTTTGTTTTCTAAGTGCTTATTGAAAAATTTTCCCATGTACTGGATGTTTATTCTGAGTACAGATAACAAAACAAGTCATGAGTACGATTAGAAGGGTGTATGTGCTGAAACACTGTTAACTGCCTGATTCATTCACTTACTTACTTAGTGCCCAGGCTCTAGGGATAGAAAAGACATAGTGCCTCTCGTTTAATAGTTTACCATTTGGCGGGATACTAGAAATGGAAACCAGGGAGTCAACCAAATATCAGAGGTAGTATGATAGGCGTCTTCCAGCATACGTGGGGCACAGATGAGTAGGTTTCTGCCAAGTTAATAGCCTTTCTTTGCATTTGGTTTCTAAAATAATATTAAAATGCAGGTGTGGAGGCTTGGAAGACCCCAAAGAGTTTTGGGCTTTTTGTTTTGGTTTGGTTTTTGGTTTATGGTGCTAGAGAATGTCACAGGTCTGTATTAAATGTAAGTGACTGTAGAGTATCTGAAATCATGCATTTTACCTTAATCTTACACTGTGTGTTTTACATTCACAGCAGGAGGAGTCTTTGTTTGCGTCTATGCCACCTCTTTGCCCAATTGGGAGTCACCCTAAGGTTCAGAGCCCCAAACCTATAACTGGAGGACTTGGAGCTTTCACAAAAGTGAGTATTTTTTAGGGGATTATCCTACAAGTCAATATGGTCATGTTGCCTAGTCTTTTTTGTGGCATGTTGGAGTCGAGTGACACTATCCCACAACATGTAATTTTTTCATTGAGCTCAGTTCTAAGACCAGATCCTGCTTTGGAGACATGCTTCTGTTTATTCCGTGGCGTCCACAGGGCAGCCCTGGGAGCCCAGTGAGATGGGAACTTCAGAGAGCACAGTCCGTTTCTCTCTGCTGCCAGTTTGCCAGAGTCTAAAAGGACTAGGTTGAGTTGCAGATAAACAGGATCAAGTCCAGATCCTACTTTTGGTCCTTTTAGTAGCTGCTATGGGCTATCTTCATGCAGTGTTTTTATCCTGGTGGAGTCATTCTCTACAGACCAAGCTTCATCTATTTATGAATTCCTTCTTGCAAACAGAATAGATTCAGATATTAGTAGCTTTTTTCCTTGGGATGTGTATTCAGTATCATTATCATGTTTGTTGCAAGGTAATCATCAAACAGGAACCTGGTGAAGCCTCTCACGTGCCCACAACAGGAGCTGCCAGCCAGTCACCACTCCCTCAGTATGTGACTGTGAAAGGGGGTCACATGATAGCTGTGTCCCCTCAAAAACAGGTCATAACTGCTGGAGAAGGGACTGCCCAGTCACCCAAGATTCAGCCCTCCAAGGTTTGTGTTGGGTGGGGATGGGGAGGTCAACAAGGAAATGACCATTATTTGCTTAAATAATTGACAAGTGCTGAAAAGATATAGGGTGACAGGGTTGCTGATCCCAGAAAAACCTGTAGATGAAAAGCCCCCTTGGAAAAGCAAGTCAGTCAATGTGAAATCCATCGTACAGTAATTAACCATTGACAGGAGCAGGAGCATGTGTTGTAGAGGGTCCCTGAACAGTCAAAGAGGCAAAGGTCACAGTGTTACCTCTGGCAGTGAAGGTGACTGACTTCGTGGACACAGCTTTGCTCCTGATTTGATCTAAAGTGGGACCAAGGTCTACTGTTTTACTTGTTTATTTCTGATAGGAGAGTGCTATAGTTTTTGCCTCTGATGTCCAGGCTGTGTGATCTCTTTGATTCTTGGCTCTTTGAACAGTTTCTTTTCTTTATAATTTGGAGGTATGGAGAATTAATGTGTTGGGAGAACTGTAAAATTGCACATCGATCCATGTTTTCCTACAGCTAATAAGCAACATAATTTGAACCCAAAACTCCTCATTCCAGAACTAATTAAAATTATCTGTAATCTAAACATGCTTTTAGAACATCCTGAGTTAAATTATCTTACTTTTTGGGCAGATATATTCTCTTAAGAACATTATGTGAAGTGTTTGCTTTTCAACTTTAGAGCCAGCCTACCTAGGGAGAGTGAATTGTTTTGAGAGGAATACTTTAAAATAGAAAAAGGTTTGCCCAGCCAGCATGGCTCAGCTTTTGAACATCGACCTGGGATCCAGGAGATCTCGGTTCGATTCCCAATCAGGGCACATGCCCGGGTTGCGGGCTCAATCCCCAGTTGGGGGCATGCAGGAAGCAGCCGATCAATGACTCTCTCATCATTGATGTTTCTTTCTCTCTCTCCCCCTCTTTTCCTCTCTCTGAAATCAATAAAGACGTGTGTTTTTTAAAAAAAGTTTTAGACATTTCAGATAGTTTAGATAGCTACAGGTGGAATGAGATAAAAATTTATAGTGTTATATAGGGGGTTCTAAAATCTGTAAGAGTCCACTAACTACTTCCTAAACTTACCTGGTCATAGGAATCATCTGGTGATTAAAAACGTAGATACCTAGGCCCCTATCTCAAACTTATTGAATCAGAATCTTCTTTGGGGGCCCTGGGAATCAGTATTTTTCAAATGCTCTCCTGCTAACTCATATGATTAGGCAAATTTAGGAACCACTGAGCTACATGATCACATTTGACTTTGTGGCTTCCGTAACCAGAATCACTAAGACAGGTGCGTCAACTGCGTCCTAATCTCCCTCTATTGTTTTGGTCAGGGGCAAGCATTTTGCTAATGTCCTTTAGTGAGCACGTTATTGTCATGCGGACTTCCTACACAGACACTTCCTACATATTCTTCAAAATCTACTTTGCTTTACCTGGAGATACATGATATTATTGATTTAGGTTTTGAATTAATATAGCATTGCTGTTTATGCTCAGAAGCTCAGGAGAAGTTAGTTTCCACTCTGTGCCACTTTGTATTTTGCTAATACACTCATCCAGTAAAGCCGAACAACTGTATTGGCTTTCTTGTCACATTGCCACCTACCTAATGGCAGTGAAAACTAAGAGGAAGTGGAGGGGTTTGTGCTAGAATGCCCTGAATAAAGTTTAAAGGCACCTAAAAAGAAAAGCCACAGGAGAAAGTGAAAGAACTGCAAAGAAGCAGTAGAGCATGAGAAAAGACATCACTCTTTGTCCAGGAAATTTAGTTCATGCTTTGAACTTGAGATAAGGAGCTATCTGCAAGTACAGAGAGTCCCTGGTTACTGCTGAAGTACATTCCCAGAAACTGGAGAGCAGAAGGGTGAACAAAATGATGTTGTTTTACCTTCCATACAGCTTCAGCACAATAGAAACACAGCGTATCTTTTTCATTAAAGTAGAGAGAGGTACTGCTTTTGCCATGAGAAGGAACAGGAATTAGTGGGTTCATGTGGGAAGTAAGCAGTGAGTATAGTAAAAAGAACATGAGCTTTGGACTAGAGCTTGTTACAAATCTCACACCTCGGCCACTAATTACTGATGTGACCTGGGCAGGTTTATCTGGAAAAATATCCTCTGTCTTTCAGAGTTGTAGGATAATTAGAGACCATTGTATATAAAGAACCTGGCACAGAGCAGATGCTCAGTAAATGATAGTAGCTAATGTACGTAACCAGGGACGAGCCCTCTGTAAACGTGCATGAGTACCATGGTAATAGTTATTATCATTGAGTACTAAATTGTAATTGCTGTATTTTTCAGTGTCTGGATGAAAAAAATCACAGAATCTTGCTGACTTGCCAAAGGTCTGTAAAGGGCACAGGAAAGGCAGAAATAGAACATTAAATCAAAGTGATATATTTATAACAATACAAAATAAGGGGTGTCTGCTATGTAAAACTAGAAGGAAATTAGGAATACAGAGAAGGTTCTAGGCCAAAATGTTATATTGTTAAAAAAATCAAAACTAATTTGGGGTTATAGTGTCTTGCTTGAGAGCATTCCTTGTGGTGTCCACAGACAGCTGTGTGTAGATTCCCCCAGTAGAAAACCAGCTTCCTCATTCTTGGTTTTTTTAGAAGACAGGAGGAGCTGTTTATCTTGTAAGTGCTGTGATCATAGTGGATAAGCTTTGCTAATAAAAACTGCCCTCCTGTGGCCAATTTTGGATACCACGTTTTTATTTGGCTCTGGGAGAGATTACATCATATCCTGGAAATTTTGAAGCAATTGTGAGGATAGAGGTTGGCACAAGGACGGGAAAGCAAGTCAGATGCATGGAATTTGGGGAAAGAAATTAAAATAGGTCCAATATGTATGTATTATTTCCTTTTAAGAACTTTGCTTTCTTTAGGAACATGAAAATAGATTATGTGTAATTTAGCTTATGCAATAGGTTAGAAAATTTGATATATTTAAGAAATGTGAAGACTTATCTTAGGGAAAAAAAAGTTCAACTGCTGTCACCAAAATATCAAGAAATCAGGCTTAAATACATTTATTTCTCTCATACATAAAAGACCAGTAGGCAGTTCTGGTGTGTTGATTCCACAATTTTCAAGAATCTAGACTCATAATTAGTTGCTCTGTCATTCACAAAATTTGATTTTCAGCTTGTGGGCTAAGATAGCTACTTTATCTCATGCTACCACGTTCACATTTCTGGCCAGCGGGAAGAGAGGAGTAAGGGGGAGGGGAGAAACGTAACCCAAAAGTTGCACTCATCAGTTCTGTTCATGTGCCTTTAGCCAGAAATCAGATGGCCCACCTACTTGTGCAGCGGCTGGGGTACATAGTCAGTATTCTATTTTCAGTAACCCTAGCTGAAAATTGGGGGCTCTGTCACTATGAGAGAGAAGCAAAAAATGAATATTGGGGTTTAACTGGCAGTTTCTGCTAAATCCCAGAACTGTTTTTCTATTAAGAAACTTAAAAAAAAATTTTTTTAGGTATGTTTTTTATTGATTTTTAGAGAGAGAGGAAGGGAGAGGGATAGAGAGATTGAAACATCAATGGGAGAAACATCATCGATCGGCTGCCTCCTGCACGCCCCCTCCGGGCCATTAAGCCTGCAACCCGGGCATGTGCCCTGACCGGGAATCAAACTGTCAACCTCTTGGTCCATGAGTCTACACTCAAACCACTGAGCAACACCAGCATGGCAAGAAACTTTTTTTTTTTTTTTTTAAGAATGCACAGGAAACTCCTTGATTAGTAAGAAGAGTTTTTACATCTCCACACGTCTAGGGGGAATGACCTTCCCAGCTCTGAAGCCACAACAACACTCTGTTGCCTGCAGAGTGAGGCTTATACTGTCAGAATAAAGAGATTTGGATAACCGTAAGGAATTGTTTTAACCAAGTCAGGATAGCTGGGAAAATTTCTCTTCTCCATTCTAGGTTAACTTGCTTTTTAAAAAATTGGTTCTTTGATTCTTTTGTTTCTTCCTTCCTTCTTTCCTTCCCTCCTTTCTAAATGTGCATAAAAGTGGAGAGACTATTATGAATCCCATGTGCCCATTACTCAGTTTCAACAATTATCAGCATTTTATTAATCTTACTTTTCTTCCTAGAATATTTTAAAACAGAGACCAGATGTTATGTACTTTAATTTCCCTTTGACTAACAATCTGGAGTTTAAGATCAAAGTCCTGTGCTCTGGACAAACGCTGAAGACACTGACAAATGCTTATCCTTTGGCTCTCTTCTCTCTATCCATTGAGTCTTCATGGAATTTCATAGATTACCATTCTTTAGTTAATAATGAGTGCCTGGTTAGCAGCAGCTGTCATTTACTGTGTACGCCATGTTGGCTTGGCATTTTATAAACTTATTCTCGTTTATGCCTCTTAATCTTATGAGATAAATATTATAGATGAGGTGTCTAAAGCTAAAGTTCAAAGAGGTTAAAATAACTTACCCAGCTACTAGCTGATGAAACAAAACTAGGAAACCAGGTCTGACTACCTAGAAAACCTGTACTCTTTCCTTTATATTACACTGTGGTTCATACCATTTGATTAGGGGACCATTTTCTTTACATCAGTCATATTATCCAAACACATGGCAAGGGTATTTCTCTATATTCATATTCTTTGAAAAGAAACCATGTATGACTTAGTAATTATTTAACTTTAAAATCCCATTTATCAGTTGTATATGATTTATCATTTTGTTCCACGTCTTAAGCAATACTATTACTTTTTAATTTAGAAAGATTCTAAATTTCAGTAAAATACACAGAATAATATAATCAATATTCACATATCCTCCACCCTAAATTAACATGTTCATATTTCATTTAAATTATTCCTTCTCCAAATAAAACATGACCGATAAAGTTGAAGTCCACTTTGTTGTTTACAAAAGCAACACTATCATGAATTTGGATTTGTAGCTTTTCAGTCCATACTTCTATTATGTAAACACACAGCCGTAAATAACATATAATGTTCATGTGTTTGAAGATTTACATAAAAGATACAGTTGACCCTTGAACAGCATGGGTTTCAACTGCACAGGTCCATTTATTCGCAGATGTTTTTAAACAAATACCTGTACTGTTTTTGATCTGTGTTTGGGAGTCCACAGATGCAAAGGGCTGACTGAGCTACACCATTTTGCATAGGGGACTTGAGCATCTGTGGATTTTGGTACCTGCAGGGGTTCCTGGAACCAATCCCCCGTGGATACGAGGGACAACTGGTGTAATTAAGTTTTGGAGGAGACAGAAGTTATACTTGGGTTTTACGACCCTGGGGGTGTCGGGACTCAAAACCCCAATGTTTAGGGGTCAATTATATCCCTAAAAGTAAAATTGCTACAACATGGTTTATGTGAATTTTTAGTTTTATTAGATATGCCAGTACCTCTCTGGAGTGGCTGTATAAATTGACTTTTCTACAAGCACTGGAAAAAAGCTCCTGTTTCCTCACATCCTCTAGCCAATTCTTGGTGTTTTCAGACTTCTAAACTTTTCCCCTCTAATCTAATGGGTAAATGTACTTTCTACTTTATCTTTTTTGCCTTTTCAAGGCAGATCTTTTGCCATTCTTATAAAAATCTTTTAATCTAGTTTTTGGTGAGAAGCTCTTTTTCTGAAATAAAGAACTGGGCAGTGGGAGATACCACCCCACTTTGCCATTAATTAAATCGTTTCTTCTAATGGAACATCCTACTGTTTGTGTTAAAAGAGCTCTGTAGTATTTTCTTACTGTGGAAGACTTCACTTTGCAGTATTTTCAGAACCAGATATTTCTAACTTTCATAATTTGGGTAGTGGGTTTTTTTTAAAAAATTCAATTAAATATTTTTTTTGTTTACACTTTTTCATTTTTAACCAAAAGTCTACCTTTAGGAAAGGAAAGATTAGAAGTATATAGAAAAAGATAACTTCTTAAAAGTTAGTTGGAAGGAAAAAAATCAGTTGGAAGAGGTGACATGAGTTGTTAGGAGTTCTAGAGATGAAGAAATAGTCGTTTCAGGTGGAGATAATATAGAAGGGATTACAGAAGAGTTGATATTTAAATTTTTATAGTGTAGTTTATAGTTCATATATGCGAATGTTGATTGCACATTTTTCATAATGTCAAGTTTAAAATTACCTAAACATCCATACAGTTGTAAGGTCTTTACATATATTATGGTATATGTATTCTAATATATTATTATTTGGTTATCTGAAAATGTTTTCGAAAAGTAATAACTGGGAAATGCTTGTGATATGTAAATTTAAAAATAACAAAACTGTATGTGTGATCCTAATCTGTTTTAAAATGAATATTGAAAAGAATTGGAAGTAAATTCACTAAAAATTTTAAGAGGTTTTTTTTCTGAACGAGTAGGATTTTTTCAGACATTTCTGTATTTTCTATAAAAACACATATTACTTTTTATAATTAAAATAAATAATAGATAGTAGCTGGAGTTCAGAGAAAAACCATCATCACCTTTTATTGTAATAATATCCAAACTGTAAGAAATATTGCTGCTGTTCACACCTGTCATAGGTTGCATTTTTGCATTGAGTTGACTCCATGTACTATGTCTAGGACTGCTTTGTTCTTTGCTAGAACACAGGGACTGTTCTGTTTCTATGAGAAGAAGCACTGCTGGACTTTCCTCTGTTTTGAACAGGTTGTTGGGGTGCCAGTTGGGTCTACTTTACCTTCAACAGTGAAACAGGCTGTGGCAATTAGCGGTGGCCAAATCCTGGTAGCCAAGGCCAGCTCTTCCGTCACCAAGGCAGTTGGTCCAAAGCAAGTTGTGACCCAAGGAGTTGCCAAAGCAATTGTGAGTGGAGGTGGAGGAACCATTGTCGCTCAGCCAGTGCAAACCTTAACCAAGGCTCAGGTCACTGCTGCTGGCCCTCAGAAGAGTGGATCTCAGGGTTCAGGTAACTAATACTAATTGGGGACCCTTTCAGCAAGCAGTGCCTACCAAAATATTCTTTGCTAGTGATTTTATTTGGTATTTGGTTTTGTCTAGGAGAACCTAGTAAGGGATGTGTGTGTGTGAGCAGTAATAATAAAAATAGAGGGTACTTCTTAAGATACTACTTTCAGGTTTGAAGAATAATTCTCATTTTTCCTCATCTCCACTTTGGGTTGTATTTTAGACTTAAAACTTGGTAGGGTCATTTTGAAATATTTAACTAATGCATTCTCTACCAAACAAATGTTTAAACACCTCAGTATGTTTTAGGTTTGATGAATTGTTTCTATGAAGGCAAAATATTTATCTGCCTCTAAAGCATTGTACATCTGAAAAATAAACTGTGGAGTTACTGTTTGTTAGCACTTTTTAATAAGTATTTTATTACTCTGTGCTTTAATTTTAGAGATGGCAGTGTCCTAAGTTCCATTTTATCTTACTGTTTTTCTTCTTTTCTTTTTAACCATTTAGTAATGGCAACACTACAGCTACCAGCCACTAATTTGGCCAACTTGGCAAATTTGCCACCTGGCACTAAACTCTACCTTACAACAAACAGCAAGAACCCTTCAGGGAAAGGAAAACTGCTGCTGATCCCTCAAGGAGCCATCCTACGAGCCACCAACAATGCTAGTGAGTCCCTCATTTTATTATTTGGTTCTTGGTTGTCTGGGTATGTTCATCTCACCTACCAGAGGAGCAGTTTTTACCTGTTTCAGGAAGCATTTCCATGGCTCTGGTGGTGTAATGGTAGTATTTGCCCAAATGCACTTAAAACATGCATAATTTAACTAGAATTGGCTTTAAATAATCATGGCCTTAGGAGGTAGCACTCTTATTTTGGGTTTACCTACTCAGAGTTTGGGATCAGGGACAGATTACATTGAATAGGAATGGTTTTGTTGGGAGAAAGCTGTCTGTGTGAACTGTAAATGAAGAAAGAACTTCCTTTCAGTAGTAAATGAAAATGTGATACCTGGGGGGAAGTTTTGTCTACTTCCAGTAGCTGGAACCTAATTTTATTTTATTTTATTTATGGTAATTTTTATTTATTTATTTTTAATATAACTTTATTGATTTCAGAGAGATGGAAAGAGAGATAGAAACATCAATGATGAGAAAGTCATTGATTGGCTGCATCCTGCACGCCCCCAACTGGGGATCGAGCCCACAACTCGGACATGTGCCCTGACCGGGAATCGAACCTCAATCTCCTGGATCCTCGGTCAATGCTCAACCACTGAGCCGGGCCTTATTTTTATTTTAAAGGAGATAGAAATAGGACTGGAATCAAGGGTCTCTGCTTGCCATTGTTTAGATAGGCTTCTTAAGTTTACTAGGTTTGGAGATAGAAAGAGACATACAGGCTCAGCCTAAATGAATGTCCTAAAGCCCCAAGGAAATTAAGAGGTTTATCTACACTTGTATAAACTTTTGCTTTGACACACAGAAAAAAACAATTTGAGTAGTATTGTAAAGTAAAAGGTCAAAGGAATTATTTCCCTCTGAATCAGAGGTACAATTGGTACAGCAATCAAGTTCATCAGAAATTAGCCATTCTTGCCAAAATGCAGTGTGTAAGCGAATCACCATTTTGTTTATTGACACTAATGGTAATTTCCATTTTCTCACCCTGATATTTTTTCCCTTGTACCTAATCAGTGGTATATAGAAAGTCACATATGTAAGACAAGGACAATATAACTATTCCGGAACTCATCAGAGAGCTACTTAGATTTTAGTTAATGTATAGTATGTTCCAAAAAGGGAAGTAAAAAGGGTCCAAGGGCTTTAAAGTGGAATTTGAAAAGGAAAAAAGAACGGGACCTTAGAGTCGTCATAAATATGAAGAATGTCTTAATTTTTTCCAGGTGGGTGGGGAAACAGGAGAGAGAGAGCACTGTAAAATTACACTAAATTCCAGCAGTTTCACTGAAATTGAACCAAATGCCAAAAAGTTTGGAAGCATGTCTTTGAGCACATTGAAGTGTTGATTAAAACCAATACGTGGTTTAAAAATGTCAGTATCAGATTTTCTCATGATCTTCCACAACCAAGTCAAAACAGTTGTCAAAGGTGAGTTCTTCATTGTACTCAGAGCTGAACTAGTCGGCTGTCATTCAGTTGAAAGTAAATAGATGTCACTCTTCAACTCTAGGAAGTGCTCGCTCTTGTCGGAGAAAGGAGAAGGGAAATAGGAAAGGGGAGGAATGGTGCTGTAACGGAAATGTGGGCTCACCTGTTTCTCTGTTAAGCTTGATGCCCTTCGTGACGTTGCTGTCATTCATCATACTTGCAGACCTACAGTCCGGCTCAGCTGCCGGGAGCGCTGGTGCTGCGGGAGGAGGTGGTGGCAGCGGAGGAGGCGGGGCTGCAGCAGGAACGCAGAGCCCCGCTGGGCCTGGAGGGATATCCCAGCACCTGACTTACACATCTTACATCCTCAAGCAAACTCCTCAGGTCTGGTCATTTTAAATCATTCAGTTATTTAAAAACTGCCTTTAATTATAGTGGGTTTACCATTACAGCTCTGGGATCAGGAGTCAAATAATGACATTTTAGCCATGTTGTAAATCTATATTATTTGGGGTTTGTTTTGTTTTGAGAGAAGAGGAAGTAGGGATTCAGAAAGACTGAACTAACTTATCCAAGGCCTCTCTGCTAAGCCAGTGCTGGCTTTAGATTTAAACCCAGATCTTTCTGACTCAAAGAAAGATTTTCACTCTGCTCATGCCTCCCAAATCCATGAGGTAATAAACAGTATTGATGTGCGGTTCAGAATGTTCTCTCAGAAGGGAGTGACCAGAGAGATGCTTGTGGACTGTGGTATTTGGAGTTAGGTTGGACTCAAGATTGGGACCAGGTTTCCACCTTCTTTCCCTTTGTCACAAAGCCTTGGCTCTCCTCTAAGGAAGGTAATGGAATTTTGGTTCCAGACATTTTTATTGAGAGTGATGGGTAATAATCAGTTTGAATGATTGAATCCAGCTTTGAGGATTAGATTACAAAACGCGAGTTTCCGACACCTGCTCCATAACTACTGTGCAACATTTGAGAAATGGAGATAACCTGGTAGCGGCGCTGAGCACCATTCTTTTCAGTTACTTTGACCAAGTTGCAGAATAAGGGAGCCTTGTAGCTTGTAACATGGGACCTTGTGATTTAAATGATCAGAGGAAGATATTTGAATTTAACAAATTACTGATTACATCTTTATTTTTTCTAACTTAGGGTACATTTTTAGTTGGCCAGCCATCACCCCAGACATCTGGAAAACAGCTGACTACTGGGTCAGTGGTCCAAGGAACACTGGGCGTCAGCACATCTTCTGCACAAGGGCAACAAACATTAAAAGTCATCTCTGGACAAAAAACCACTTTGTTTACCCAGGTAAATGACACACACACACACACACACACACACACACACGGTGATTGTGGCATTTATTTACATATTTACAACTTGTTCTTTCTACAAAGATATTAAGGTTACATAAGAAAATGAACAATAAAATAGTATGGAAAAATAAGAATAAAATCTTGAGATTTGAGAAAACCTAAGTGGAATGAGAAGATAAAACCTAGAGAGTTATTTAGATACGCAAACAGTAATATCCTATATAGTTAATAAAATTTGCCAAAGCAAAACGAGAAGCATGATCAGTTATAAAGTTCACACTATTTGTGAGAGAGAGAAAAACTAATCACATCATATTTTCTAGAAGAAACAAAAATTTTCGTGACACTTCATTCTAAACTTTCTCTGGAGGGACTTCATGCAGGAGATTCTGAATAGTGTAAGGTGATTTCAGCCACACTATCCATACAGTAAGTAAATGCTGCAGAGAGTTTGGTGCATGTTTCTAGAGCATTTTTTTTTTTTCTATGAGCCAAAGAATAACGACAGGGAATTTTAACTGTGTAAGGAATATCATAATCATCTAAATCTACAGCTAGATCTCAAAAACTTACCAAGTGAAACAAACACAAATATAGATAGTATGATGCCATTTATCTACAAACAATGCATTTTCTGGGACTATAGAAATCAGTAGTTCTCAAAGCATGGAATAGATATTGCAGTTTTGGCAAATGCTTTTTCTACTGAAATGATCATATTTTTCTTTTTTGGTTTGTTAATATGGTGAATTATATTAATTTTTCAAATGTTAAACCAACCCTGCATTCCTGGGATAAACCCCATTTGGTTGTGATATATTATCCTTTTTTAATTAGAATTTTGTAAGGGATATGGGCCAATAGTTTTCTTTACAGTTTTGGTACAACAGTGAAACCATAATGGCTGGAGTTTCCCTAATAAGGGATGTTTTTAACTATAATTTCAATGTGTTTAATAGATACAGGACTACTCAGTTTATTTCTTCTTGAGGGAGGTTTGCTAGTTTATATCTTTAAAGGAATTTGTCCATTTCATCTATGTAGTGAAATTTATTGGCATAAATTTGTTCATAATTCTTCCTTATTACCCTTTTAGTGTCTGTAGAATCTTTGGTGATGTCCCCCTTTTTAGTCTTGATTTTGATAATTAAGTATCTTCTCTTTTTTTTTCTTGATCAGTCTAGGTAGAGGTTTATCAGTTTTATTTATCTTTTCAAATTACTACCATTTAGTTTCCTTGAGTACTAATTTCCCTTTGGTCAGCTGCTCTTACCTATTTCAAAGAGATATGAAGCCCCCAAATTTTTTGGCAGTTCTTTAAAATCTTAGCTGATTTATTCTGACCTGTTTATGGTGCAGCCAGTGCAGTGACTTTCTCTTTGTTCTGCCACAGCTGGGACAATTGCTATTGCATTTTATTAAGACATAATTTACGTACAGTAATGTACAGATCATAAGTGAACTCCTCAGTGAATTTTAACAAATGTATATACTCATTTAGCCACTATCCCAATCAAAATATAGAACTTTGCCTTTCCAGTTTTTTTCTATCACTGTTTTTCTATCACAATAGGTTAGCTTTTGTCTGTTCTTGAATTTCATGTCAATAAAATTATGTAGTATAATGATACTATTATATCTAGCTTCTAGTGTTTATAATGTTTTTGAGACTTATCCGTATGTGTATCAGCTGTTTATTTTTTTATTCTTGAGTAGTATTTTGTTGCATGACTCTCTTTTCCTGTTGATGGATGTTTGGATTATTTCCAATTTTTGACTTATGAATGGTACTATTATGAACATTCTTATATAGATCATTTTGTATAGTAGAATTGCTAGGTCATAGGGTAAGTGTAAGAAATTTTGTAAGAAACTGACAAATGGTTTTGCAAAGTGGTTATACCATTTGACTCTTCCATAAGTAACATGGGAGAGTTCTAGTTGTTCCACATCCTCACCAACACTAAAAATCATCGTTTGTTTTCATTTTAGTCATTTTTGTGAGTATGAAGTGATATCTTATTGTGGTTTTAATTTGCTTAAGATTCCAATGCAAATGATGCCGTGGCTGCTACTCCTGGATTCTAATCATGTCTCCTTCGGTTACTAGTTGTGTGACCCTGGTAGTCATTGAGCTTAATCTCTTCATCTTTAAAATGGGACTAAAATCTACCCTATAAAGTTTATGAAAAGATTGAATGACATAAGATATGTTAAAAGTGCTTTCTGCCGCTCCTGGCACATAGTATGCCCTCAAAGACTGATAAATGGTATGATTTGTGGGATGCATTAATTTGGGGCACAAAGCAGTTGTTTAGATCAGGGGTCAGCAAACTAAACCCAAAGCTTTCTATTTTTATAAATAACGTTTTATTGGCATATGCCATGCCCATTTAATGCTATAACAGTAGAGTTGAGGAGTAGGAACAGAGATCATATGGCCTGACATGCTTACTCATGCCATTTACACAACAGTTTGCTGAGCCTTGTTTTAAACTATTAAAGGTATAATTTGTTGAATGATTCTCCAGTACTAAGTGCTAATCCTTTACTAGCCTAGAGCACCATTAATTTACCCATTAAAATCTGGCCCTGTCCAGTTTTCATGTTCAAAGATTATAAGAGCGCTTTGGACTCAGTTATTCTGATAACAAATGGCCTGGTATCTTTGAAGACACTGCTGCCAAATAGTAGCTTGCAGTTGCATTCATTTACTTGTTCTGCATTAGGGGTAAAGGATCATTTGTAGGTAAAAGGTCATAAACTTGAGAATTTGTTGGAAAAGTGCACAAACACTTTATATAGTTTTGATCAGCAAGAGTTTCTTGTATGTGTTTTAATTCTGGGGGCATATGTAAGGAGTAAGTTGTGCCTATTAACCAGGGCAGCCTTATTTCTTCAACCCATTTCGTTTTTGCAGGCAGCCCCTGGGGGACAGGCCTCTCTAATGAAAATATCTGATGGTACTTTGAAGTCTGTGCCAGCCACCTCACAACTCTCAAAGCCTGGAACCACAATGCTGAGAGTAGCAGGAGGGGTTATCACAACTGCCACTTCACCAGCTGTGGCCCTCTCAGCAAATGGTCCTGCACAACAGGTGAGAATTAGCATGACAGGAGAAAATGATAATGAAACATAAAAGTAGTAAGAACAAGATATTCAGCAGGCATACCACTGGACTCTGTTGCTCTTTTTAAGAATGGGAATGTAATTTACGTACCCTAAAATTCACCATTTTTAAGTGTACAATTTAGTGGTTTATATTACGTTCTCAAGGTTGTGCAACCATTGCCATCTAATTCCAGAACATTTTTTTTATCATTCTGGAGAAAAATGCTCTGTACCCAGCAGTCAACGGACATTTGGGTTGTTTCCACCTTTTGACTACAATGAATAATGCTGCCATGAACATTTTGTACACGTTTTTGTATAATGTTTTCGTTTCTCTTGGCTGTATGCCTAGGAAAGGAATTGCTACATCATCTAGTAACTGTGTTTAAGTTTTTAGGGAACTGCCAAACTGTTTCCCAAGTGGCTGCTCTGTTTTAGATTCCCACCAGCAATGTATAAGGATTCCAGTTTTTCCACATCCTAGCTGACACTTGTTTCTATCCATTTTTTAAAATTATAGCCATTCTACTGGGTGTGAACTGGTAATTCATTGTGTTTTTAATTTGTATTTCCATATAGATAATGATATTGAATATCTTTTCATGTGTTTTTTTGTTTTGTTTTATTTTTGGAGATTTGTGTATCTTTTTTGGAGAAATGTCTATTCAGATCCTTTGACCATTACTTAGTTGGGTTATTTATTGTCTTTTCATTGTTGATTTGGATAAACAATGCGGCATATTCATAAAGTTGAATATTATTCAGCTATAAAAAGGAATGAAGTATTTTTTTAATACGGTAACCTTGTGATACCTCCTCATTTAAAAATTTTCCTTGCCCATGAAATCTAAAAGTGTAGGACCCACCAAACTAGGGAAGCAGTCTTTCTAAATGGCATGACATTTAATAGGAAGGTAATAATAGCTAATAGATAATTGAGTATGCTACATGACAGTCACTTCTAGGTAAGTTACTGCTTTTTTTAAATTTCTCTTATTTCTGGCCCTGTGGATGAGCAGTCAGAAGGAACAGCGCCCAGTTCATCATCTACTATAGGTTCTATAATGAAAACGTCTGGGCAGCAACAAGTGTGTGTGAACCAGGCCACGATGGGAACCTGCAAGGCTGCTGCTCCCTCTGTCATCAGTGCCACGTCCCTGGTGTCCACACCAAACCCCATCTCCGGAAAAGCTACAGTGTCAGGTCAGTTGTAGCATAAAGATATTATTTCTCTCTCCCTTCTTTGGGCTATAGTATTTTTGGAAGGTCTTAAACAATATTTTTATAATGAGTTATTAAAAATCAACATTTTCCAGGTAGCTGCTTTTTAGATAAATTATTATTTAAAATCTGCATATAAATTTTTAAGTCGCGATAGTTTTATAGATTGAATAATAAGTTTTCTTTTTTCTTTTTTTAATCCTCACCCGAGGGTTTTTTTTTTAATTGATTTTTGAGAGAGAAGAAGGGAGGGAGAGAAACACTGATGTGAGAAACAGCGATCATTTGCCTCCTGAAAGCATCCCGACTGGCCTGACTGGGAAGCGAACCAGCAACCTTTCAGTACACGGGACAACGCTCCAACCAACTGACCCATATTTTTTCTTGAATAATCATTTTTAAATGATATAATAAAACTTTAGTCATATGGAGCTCTATTGGATATTTTAGCTGCCTTCATAATGTAATTTTGTGGAGAGCCGAAGGTTTACTCTCTTAAAGTACCAGTTGTTTTTTTTAAAATCAGTTTTAAATGGAACTCATTGTAAAATACCAGACATCTCTTTGCTTTTACAAACAAAACATAAAATATAAGTTATCTTTGGTGGCTCCAAGTCATGATTTTTTTTTAAACATATCTTTATTGATTTCAGAGAGAGGGAGAGAGAAATACAGAAACATCAACAATGAAAGAGTTGTCATTGATTGGCTGCCTCCTGCACACCCCTGACTAGGGATTGAGCCCGCAACCCGGGCATATGCCCTGACCCCAGGAATCAAACCACGATCTCCCGGATCCTAGGTGGATGCTCAACCGCTGAGCTACGCCCAGCCATGCCAAGTCATGATTTTTAACATTATTATATTGGGTAGTATTAGGGTGACATGCTTGAGGTCTGACAAGAGGAATGATGTTTCTGACACTAAAGGGCCCCAGGAAAGTGTGTCTTTTACTTTGTTGGGTAACATATAGAGCACAAATCCGGGACCCTTAATTAAAATAACTTGCTTTAGTTTCCTGATAATACCTACTCCATAAAGTTGAGAGGATTAAGTAAGTTAATATATTAATGCATGTCTGACATGTAGTAGCCAATATATAAATAATTGTTGCTGTTATTTCCAGTGTCACCGTTAGTCCACATTTCCTTATCTGCAATTCTAAAATCCAAAAACTTGTGAACACCAAAGGTTTGGGGTTTTTCCCCATAACTAATTTTAGGGTGAAATCTGACCTCCACTGATAGGCTATTTATACTACTTAATATGAATATTCGTATTTTGCCAAAGATATATTAATATATTTGATTACATTGTGCTGTCCTGGATACTAGGGGCTGATATAATTTGCAGCATTGCTTCTCAAACTTTAGAGATAGTTTTATTTTTCTACAATCCAATAGACACTTTTTCTTTTTTCTTTTTTAAATATGTCTTTATTGATTTCACAGAGAAGAAGGGAAAGAGAGAGAGAGAGAGAGAGAGAAACATCTATGATGAGTCATCTTTCAGCTGCCTCCTGCATGGCCCCCCCTGGGGATCGAGCCTGCCACCCAGGCATGCATGTGCCCCAACCAGGAATCGAATCACAATCTTCTGGATCATAGGTTGGTGTTCAATTGCTGAGCCTCACTTGGCAGGCCAGACAGACACTTTTATAAAATACTATAAAAATGCCACAGCAATGTCAAAATGTTACAAAAATTTCTGAACACTAATTTCTATAATAATGTAACAGATTAACATCTTATTATAGATTAATAACAATATACCAACCGGCACTGATAAACAGAAAAAAAACACAACTGAATATCACTGAGATATATAGACCTCCACACAAACATGCATAAATACACACACAGACCTTAGTACCTTTGGATAAAGATTGAGGATGTTGTTACTATTGTTACTGTCATCACTACATTCCAAATATGACTCTAAACCAAGCCCCTATGTCTTATTTGCTTTGAGGTAGTTAGAGACCAGAAAAATTAAGGCTGGTCTATTTTGCCATGACTTCTACCTCCCAGTTAAAATTGATCAAGTTCTGCCTGACTGGCATGGCTCAGTGGTTGAGCGTGGATCTGTGATCCAGGAGATCGCAGTTTGATTCACGGACAGGGCACATGCCCAGGTTTCTGGCTCTATCCCCAGTAGACAGTGTGCAAGAGGAAGACTCTCTCTCATCATTAATGTTTTTCTCTCTCTCTCTGAAATCAATAAAGACATATTTAAAATCAATAAAATAAAATTGATCAAGTTCTATCTAGTATAGGGAGTGCTTTTCCCTACTAACAATGTTTGGAGGCACTGTGTCAGGACTGGAGTAGATACCATAAGAAATGGATGCCCTTCCCTTTTCTGATTAAGTTTTTAACATGCACTAAACGAAGTCTCCCTGCTTTTACATTCTAGTTTCATATGATGCTATGATAAAACTTCCTGAATAATATTTTTATAAAAGAATCAAAGTATTTCCCACTGACCAGTAACTTTTTAATTAAAATTCTGTGTGCATTATAAACTAGTTTGAACAAGGTCGGTTACCATTGTGACTAGGGCACAGTGAGCAAGGGAAAGAGCACTAGAGATTAAGTCAGACTGATTGGGGTCAAATCACTTAGGGCCTTTGTAGGTATTCTAAGAACTTTGACTATTACTCAAAGTGAAGCCACGGGGGCGGGGGGTTTAAACTAAAGAGTAACATGATCTGCCTTTTTAACAGGATCANAGAGAGAGAGAGAGAGAGAGAGAAACATCTATGATGAGTCATCTTTCAGCTGCCTCCTGCATGGCCCCCCCTGGGGATCGAGCCTGCCACCCAGGCATGCATGTGCCCCAACCAGGAATCGAATCACAATCTTCTGGATCATAGGTTGGTGTTCAATTGCTGAGCCTCACTTGGCAGGCCAGACAGACACTTTTATAAAATACTATAAAAATGCCACAGCAATGTCAAAATGTTACAAAAATTTCTGAACACTAATTTCTATAATAATGTAACAGATTAACGTCTTATTATAGATTAATAACAATATACCAACCGGCACTGATAAACAGAAAAAAAACACAACTGAATATCACTGAGATATATAGACCTCCACACAAACATGCATAAATACACACACAGACCTTAGTACCTTTGGATAAAGATTGAGGATGTTGTTACTATTGTTACTGTCATCACTACATTCCAAATATGACTCTAAACCAAGCCCCTATGTCTTATTTGCTTTGAGGTAGTTAGAGACCAGAAAAATTAAGGCTGGTCTATTTTGCCATGACTTCTACCTCCCAGTTAAAATTGATCAAGTTCTGCCTGACTGGCATGGCTCAGTGGTTGAGCGTGGATCTGTGATCCAGGAGATCGCAGTTTGATTCACGGACAGGGCACATGCCCAGGTTTCTGGCTCTATCCCCAGTAGACAGTGTGCAAGAGGAAGACTCTCTCTCATCATTAATGTTTTTCTCTCTCTCTCTGAAATCAATAAAGACATATTTAAAATCAATAAAATAAAATTGATCAAGTTCTATCTAGTATAGGGAGTGCTTTTCCCTACTAACAATGTTTGGAGGCACTGTGTCAGGACTGGAGTAGATACCATAAGAAATGGATGCCCTTCCCTTTTCTGATTAAGTTTTTAACATGCACTAAACGAAGTCTCCCTGCTTTTACATTCTAGTTTCATATGATGCTATGATAAAACTTCCTGAATAATATTTTTATAAAAGAATCAAAGTATTTCCCACTGACCAGTAACTTTTTAATTAAAATTCTGTGTGCATTATAAACTAGTTTGAACAAGGTCGGTTACCATTGTGACTAGGGCACAGTGAGCAAGGGAAAGAGCACTAGAGATTAAGTCAGACTGATTGGGGTCAAATCACTTAGGGCCTTTGTAGGTATTCTAAGAACTTTGACTATTACTCAAAGTGAAGCCACGGGGGCGGGGGGTTTAAACTAAAGAGTAACATGATCTGCCTTTTTAACAGGATCACTGGCTGTAGCCTTTAGACCAGGGGTGAAGAACATCCCTCGAAATATTTGANCTAAAGAGTAACATGATCTGCCTTTTTAACAGGATCACTGGCTGTAGCCTTTAGACCAGGGGTGAGGAACATCCCTCGAAATATTTGATCTGGCCTTGCCAAGGCAACCGCAGGCAGGACTTGAAATTCAATAAATCTAAGAGCTTTTTTCATAGCAAGTTTTTAAGTTGATAATTTTATATGGCCCGAGAATGATGTAATAAATTTCCAAATTGCCCTTGGCAGAAAAAAGGTTCCCCACCACTGCTTTAGACTAAACTATGGGCCCCAAAGTGGAAGCAGGCCCAAAATGGACCAAAAAGTAGACACTAAGAAAGAAAATTTGATGATGTATCAGAGAGCCCCGGCAACATCAGACTAAAAGGAGTTCCAGAAAGAAAACAGAAAATAGTGGGAAGGAAATGATCCAAGAAATGAAGCAATTTATCCCAATGAAGCAATTTATTGAAGGGCACAAACTTCCAGATTGAAAAGTCAGTGTCCAGCTCAGCTGGTGTGGCTCAGCGGTTGAGCATCAACCTAGGATCCAGGAGATCATGGTTCAATTCCCGGTCAGGGCACATGCCCAGGTTGCGGGCTTGATTTGATCCCCAGTCAGGGGCATGCAGAAGGCAGCCAATCAAGGACTCTCTCATCACTGATGTTTCTATATCTTCCTCCCTCTCCTTTCCTCTCTGAAGTCAGTAAAGATATATTACATATATATATATATATATATATGAAACTATCAGTTCATTGTTTTACTCTCCAGGGACATGTCTCAGTAGGTACTTAAAATGACTGGTTTACACTCATCTATTGCAAAGAAAGACGTTCTTGTTTATTTAAGGCTTTGTTCTAGAAAGTACTTAAGATGATTCATTTCCTTAAAGAAACTGCTTTCCAGTGTCTGTTTTTAAGTAGTTGCGTTATAACAGGCATTTGTGTTGTTTCTTACGTGTCCTCTCACAGCGATGCCCTTCGTCATTTTTTACTGGCCCTCTGAACTCAAGAGTCTAAGACAGTTCTGTAATGGAAACGGGAATATGGAATGGCCTTTAAAGGAAAGTTGGGGGGATGACCCTTCCTAAAATGCCAGGTTGAGAATATGTTGTGTGAAAAACAGAGGCTGCATGGAGATAGGGAATTAGAAGGGATCGCGAGTAGAATGACTGAAGTATTAGTACATGGGGCATTATGAAAGAGATGCAGGTTGGGTGGGACCAGATGAAAATGGACTCTGAATGCCTTGAAACTAATTTTGGGAACATTCTCTAGGCAGTCAGGAGTTAGAGAAGGTTTTAAAGTAGGAAAATGGCAATTAACCACGCACGTCAAAATATAGAATTTTATAGCCAAGTTTGTACATATTACAGCTATATACAAAATAAGTTGTCATAGGAAATGAACATGGAAAAGAGCTCTCAAAATGTCCAGTATTGGTTATCTGTACAGTAGAACTTTGGGTGACTTTTTCTCTTTTCTATTCTGCTTTTCCAAAAATTTCTGTATTTGTGATTGCAAAGTAAAAATAAATCATAAGCATCACACCATTGTTTCATTGTGAAATCTGCCACATCCATTGCCTCATGCTCCCAGCTTTGTTTAAGGGTGAATGTCCTGAGAACTTCCTCTTGTGAAAATATAAATGCTGACGAGGGCAGGAACTTTAAGGAAGTATCTGACCTTCAGCTTGGCCCTATCTTCCACCTTATTTTAGGATTGCTAAAGATTCACTCCAGTCAATCCAATCCCCAGCAGGCTGTCCTGACAATCCCCAGCCAGCTGAAACCACTCAGTGTAAATACGTCTGGAGGTGTGCAGACTATACTGATGCCTGTAAATAAAGGTATGTCCTTCACCGTGGGCCTCTCAGGCTGCAGTTGTCTTCAGATCTGTCTTGAGGGGGATTCCATATCCATCAGTTGGTGACTGCTACCCCCTTGTACGGCCTGCCCTTTGGCTGTCAGAGTTCTCCCCAGCACCTTGACCTCTAGGGCACCAACTCTAGAACTGACAGTGAAACCCACATGACCCATTGGCTTCTAGTAGCTGCCCATTTCTAAAGTTGAAAGAGGGGGAACATTTTAAGCACTTATGAGAATCCAGGTTAATTGGATTTTTATTTACTTAGTTTAATGAGAAACCCTCATGTCCACAGTTGATGGATAATGACTCAGTTACCCTGGTGCTAATAGTAAACAGCCACCTTGTCGTAATCATTGTTGGAAAGGACCATTTCTTTTGTTCTGTGATTGTTTTTCTGCTGTTAGTCTGAAATGGGGCTACCACCTGGGAGTTAGATCATCCTCATTAAAATAATTTCTGTATTTCTTACATCCTTCCCTTCCTTTTTGCCTGCTAGTGGTTCAGTCATTTTCTGCCAACAAATCACCTACCATTCTTCCTGTTACTGCCCCAACTCCAGTTGTCCCCAGCTCTGCTCCAGCAACTGTTACAAAAGGTATGTAGTTTCTCACAGTATATTTGCTCTCAGGTTTTATGTAAGACAATAATGAGTCCCTTGAATTTCAGCATCTGTCAGTGAGCCACCTCAAAAATGTGTATTGTTTATCTATAGACTTCACATTGAGGGGAACATAGAGCTATAGCATCATTTCTGCCCCAGGAACATATAATCATGTTGAAGAGAGTTGAGGTAGACACTAAGCAATGATTGATAAATGCAGGATGAGTGATCTGGAAAGCAAATGCTAGAATGTTCAGTCTAGGATGTCTGATCAGGGTTGGTGGGATGCAGAGGGGGATAGGACTTTGTATGGGACACGGGTTATAACCTGAACTTTAAAAGAGTGAAGCTTTGAGAGACAAGATGGTGCTGTACCCGCCGCCTCCCACAACCACATCAGAATTACAACTAAAATACAGAACAACCATCATTCAAATCCTCCTGAAATCTAGCCGAACAGAAGCCCTACAACCAGGGAACTGAAGAAGCATGAAGACCTGTAGTGGCAGAGACGCGGGGGAATCAGGGCTGAATCACAGAGATGGGTCCGCAGTTTAAAACTGGGAGGGATATTTCGGCAGTGGAGGTTCCCTGGAGGACCAAGGGGTCCCCATCCCCACAACAGGCCCCCCAGCCCAGGGTCCCTTACCAGTAAGAGAAGTCCCACAACTTAAGGCTGTAAAAACCAGCAGGAGTTGTGGCTGAGTGACTCAGAGGCTATGGGAGTCCCAGGCAGCTCCTCTTAAAGGGCTGGCACATGGACTTAACTCAGACGCGCTCCCTCTGTGCCCCAGTGCTGGGCAGCAGCTTGAAAGGACCTAGGACATCCAGGGAGGAACTAACTTGCCTGGAATCAGGGCCAGAGCTAGAGGGGCAGCTTTCTCCCAGACAGAAGAGCTGGCAGAGGCCATTGCTCCTTTGGTGAGCCTTCCTTGCACACAGCCAGCAGGCAGGCGCCATATTTGAATCTTGATTCCCAGAGACCCCACCCCTCCCTACCTGCAGGCTCATACAAGCCTATTCCAGTGGGTTTTCTATGCAAGCGGCTTCCCTAGCCTCATGCTTAGGACTTTCCTAAAACCTCTCAAACAAGCAGCAGCTGGCCTCAGCGTGCCACATACGTCTTGATAAGTGGCCTCAGGCCTGGCATTAGCGGCAGCCTGCGTTGGTTCATAGCTTGGCCTCTCCTGGACACCTCCAAGCCCAGCACAAGTAGCAGCCATCTATGGTTTGCTGTGTAGCTCATGCTGGGTGGCCCTGAGGCAGGGCCACCCAGGAGGCCCCAGAGACAGTGCACCTGGTGGTCAGACTCGACCACGCTGGATTACAGTTCTACCACATCCATGAGTGACACACTGAAGGGGCTCACTTGGTGAACACCAAAGCTCCACTGAAGTAAATTCTGCTCCATAGGGGCATCTCCAGCACAGCAGCTCTTTGGCTGTAGTTGCAGCTGGTCCTCACAGCTGATTGGCCTGGGGGTCAGTTCCTCCCAGTGATGCCAACAGCAACCAAGGCTCAACTACAACAGGAGAGTACACGCAGCCCACATGGGATCTTAGTAAGACTATTAAGGAAACTAGTGAGATCATCAATGACATAATAAAGTACCAATCAGAAATGAAGGCTACACAAACTGAAATAAAGAAGAATTTATAGGGAATCAACAGTAGGTAGAAGATGCTGAGAATCAAATCAGCAATTTGGAACATGAAACAAAAAACACCCAACCAGAAGAGCAAAAAGAAAAAAGAATCCAGAAATATGAAGATAGTATAAGGAGTCTCTGGGACAACTTCAAGAGGCCCAACATTCGTATTATGGGAGTGCCAGAAGGGGAAGAAAGAGAACAAGAAATTGAAAACCTATTTGAAAAAATAATGAGAGAAAATTTCTTCTACCTGGTGAAAGAGACAAGTCCAGGCNCATGCTTAGGACTTTCCTAAAACCTCTCAAACAAGCAGCAGCTGGCCTCAGCGTGCCACATACGTCTTGATAAGTGGCCTCAGGCCTGGCATTAGCGGCAGCCTGCGTTGGTTCATAGCTTGGCCTCTCCTGGACACCTCCAAGCCCAGCACAAGTAGCAGCCATCTATGGTTTGCTGTGTAGCTCATGCTGGGTGGCCCTGAGGCAGGGCCACCCAGGAGGCCCCAGAGACAGTGCACCTGGTGGTCAGACTCGACCACGCTGGATTACAGTTCTACCACATCCATGAGTGACACACTGAAGGGGCTCACTTGGTGAACACCAAAGCTCCACTGAAGTAAATTCTGCTTCATAGGGGCATCTCCAGCACAGCAGCTCTTTGGCTGTAGTTGCAGCTGGTCCTCACAGCTGATTGGCCTGGGGGTCAGTTCCTCCCAGTGATGCCAACAGCAACCAAGGCTCAACTACAACAGGAGAGTACACGCAGCCCACATGGGATCTTAGTAAGACTATTAAGGAAACTAGTGAGATCATCAATGACATAATAAAGTACCAATCAGAAATGAAGGCTACACAAACTGAAATAAAGAAGAATTTATAGGGAATCAACAGTAGGTAGAAGATGCTGAGAATCAAATCAGCAATTTGGAACATGAAACAAAAAACACCCAACCAGAAGAGCAAAAAGAAAAAAGAATCCAGAAATATGAAGATAGCATAAGGAGCCTCTGGGACAATTTCAAGAGGCCC